CAGGTACTTCTATATCAAAGAAGGGTTTGATACCTGTAATATTCACGATTGCTTTTTGCCCATTAATTAAAGCACCACTAATATGTAAAATGTAAGTAGATACTCCTTTTATATATTCAGCTTCATTACCCACATCCGTAGGTATGAAATGTATGGATCGCTTGACGGATAGGCTTTGTTGAAGTACGGCGGTCATCTCGTTATCGAATTCAGTCACAATATCATTACGAGATTGAACCCCTTCTACACTGTCCCCGCTCCTGTACCGGATCTCTTGTGCGCTGTATGTTTTCATTTTTTTTATTGGTGTGTATCAATCTTTGTTCGATTATATCATTGCAATATAGTTTGAAAAAGTTTAAATTAATTTATCGTATCAAATACAAGATATCAAAAAAAAGATGCATCAGGTTTTAGTGAGATGGATGCGGAGAAACACGATTTCGGTAAGTGAATACTTTGGATATATAACTTCGGTAATATATTATAAGAAAAATGGAAGTTATATATCCATTTTAATAGTATGTTTTTGGGTAGATAAGTTCATATGTTTTTGGGTATGTGGTTGGGGTATATAAGTTCAATAATATATTATAAGAAAAATGGGAGTTATATATCCGTTTCGATGATATGTTTTCGGGTATATGATTGGGGTATATAACTTCAGTAATATTATATAAGAAAAATGGGAATTATATACCTGTTTCGATGATATGTTTTCAGGGTAGGTAACTTCAGTAATATATTATAAGAAAAAATGAAGAAGCCTACCCATTCCCATGGTATGTTTTCAGGATATATAAGTTCAGTAATATATTATAAGAAAAATGGGAGTTATATACCTGATAATGTGTATATAGCATAGTCGATAGTATTCCTTGATAGCAACCTGATAGCATTTTCACGATATACTTGACAACATGTATCCGATAATATTATTTTTTCTATTAAGTATTCTATGTGGTATACAAAATGAGTTCTCAAGACGGTATTAATCAAAATTGGCAGAAAATTGAAAATGACGTAAAAGCAAAGCTTATAAAATTTCTTCAAAGTGATGAAGAATTAATTTCTTTAGATATAAATGATACTATAGAATATGCATTTTACTTATATTATTTGAAAAAATTAGGCCTCATACCGGGTTCACAAATGACGACACGTGACTGAATGCATCAACAGATATATTTTTTTACCCATGTGGCCAACTTTTGTCATCAGACTACACGCGAATTGCCAACCCGATATATGTCAGTTCGAGTGCGGCCTAAAAAGCAAAATGCGTATCACTCGAGTGCGGCCTAAAAAAGCAAAACGCACATCACTCTCGGGTGGGTTATAGTCCACACTAAGTGGTATAATAGCGACCCGATATATGTCAGTTCGAGTGTGGCCTAAAAAGCAAAATGCATATCACTCGAGTGCGGCCTAAAAAAGCAAAACGCACGTCACTCTCGGGTGGGTTATAGTCTGCACTAAGTGGTATAATAGCGAGTCTAATTTAGACTCGCTATTATACCACTAATGTAGTCTAAAAAACAAAACATACATCACTTGAGTATAGTCTAAAAAACAAAACACATTATTTTTGGGATGGATATAATTCACTTTATATTATAAATCAACTAAAATTGAAATTCTTTTTCAGTACAGCAATTCTTTTGTATTTGATCTGTATATATGTATATTATGAAATAAATCAATAATTTTATCAATTAGGATTGTTAAAAATATTAATTCAATATTAAAATTAAATACAAATTCAATACAGTGAGATTTATAGTTTTTGTTAAGGATGAAAGCTCTCCTGCCTTTTATTTTGTTATAATTATTGTTGTTTTTATTAGCTCTACCACTAATATTATTGATATTATAGTTATTATTTTGATGTTATAGTTGTTATTACTATTGATAACATTTATTATATACCAGAAAACAACACTTCTTGAAATTTATCTTTTGTCCATAATTATCTCAAGTTGAGAATATGAAAAGAGGTGTAAAAAGCATTGTGAAAGAGAAATTATTTCAAGTTGAAGATGTGAAAAGAGGTGTAAAAAGAGTTGTGAAAGAGAGAAATTAATGAATCAAAAAGTAAACCAAAATATGATTGTACTACCGCGATGCATTATGACGCGTTTTGAAATTTCAGTAATCACATGAGTCATTATAAAAAAAAAATTGCGAGAAGTGATATGAGATTTAATCACATGAACGGACAATAACTGATCAAAAATTATGTTAAAGTCATGATATTAAAGCAAAAAGAACCGAAAGTGAAATGGATATGATAATAAAATAATATGATATGATCCTGGAAATTTACAAGATAAAAATATTATTTTTAAGGATGCGATTGATTTTCATGCAAGTATTTAAAAATCTATTTCAATATTATAGAATTTTTTTTTTAAAAAGTTAAGATATGTCGATTTAAATGATATGAATAATAAATAAAATAATGATAATTGAAATAAATGTATAGTAATTTAGATCACTTAAACTGATGTGGTCTAAATAATATATCCACGATCCTTTTTGTATCTTTGGATCAAATAATTTTTGAATTCTTTGATTACAGTTATGATAAATAAATATTGGTCATGCTTGTAAGAATTTAGTATTATTGTCGTTTTATTTATTTATTCAAATATAATTGAATATACTTTATCTAAAACTTTATCTTAAATTACTTTCTATCTGAAATTGCATACGCTCATGTAAAATCGTTATCGATGAATTTTTCTTAAGAATTATTTTTTAGAATCGGTTTTTGATTAGCCAATACATTCAATCAATTTTATTGATACACGATGTTATAAAATCACATGAATTGTCTCGTTATTACCATAAGTAGGGGAATTACTCGCATCTTTTTTTTTTTTCAAACAAAATGAGTAATTTTGTGAGTGTAGGAAAAAAGATAATTGGCATTGGACGTAACTACATGTAATTTAAAAATATTATTATTATTTGTAATAATTAAAAAACTTTATTTATTTATTAATATTCAGTTATAATTTAATAATGATTTAATGATGATAAAATTTAATAATGAATTGATACCAAAAGAGAACATGCTAAAGAATTAGGAAATGAAGTACCAAAAGAACCATTCTTTTTTCTTAAGCCAACTTCTTCATATTTACAAGGTGGTGGAAATATAGAGATACCTAGAAATTCTATAGTTCATCATGAAGGTAAATGCTATAAATAAATAAATAAATGAATGAATGAATGAAAAATGAATAAATAAAGAAATAAATGAAATAAATGAAATAAATGAAAAAGAAAAAAGTTGAAATAAGAAATAAAAATATTGTATCTTTTTTGTATAGTTGAATTAGGAGTAATTATTGGAAATCCAGGTCGAGATATTAAACATGAAGATGCGTTTAATTATATTGCTGGTTAGTTTGTTGATATAAAAAATATGATAATAATGTATTTCTTTTATTGAAAGAAAATTTATAAAATAATAATATACGCTATGTATATGTGTGTGTATATATGTATATAGGATATGCGCTTGGAATAGATTTAACAGCTCGAAACTTACAAGTATGTGATATAAATATATATATATACTGATATATTATTTATTTATTTCATGTTTACTTTCTCTCTTAAAAAAATGAATAAAAATTAAATAAAATAAAAAACAAAATTAAATTAAATTAAATGAAATAAGGAAGAAGTTAAGAAACGAGGGCTTCCTTGGAGTGCGGCAAAAGGATTTGATACATTTACTCCGATTGGGTACGTTATTTTTTTTCCAAACCACCACCATAAAATTTTCATATATATATTTTTATTTTTTAGAGAATTTATTCCTAAAGAGAAAATTAATGATTCAACAAATGTTGATTTATGGTTAAAGGTATATGTTTTTTATTCTAATATTTAAAAGACTTGATAATATCTGGCATATTAATAATAATATATAATAATCTATTATTCTAATTAGGTCAACGATAATATTAAACAAAAAGGTAATACAAAAGATATGATATTTAATATTCCCACATTAATTGAATATGTTAGTTCAATCATGAAACTTGAAAGTGGAGATTTGATATTAACTGGTATTTAAATTTATTGTTTATTTATTGATTTTACATTTATTTTTAGTTATATAAAAAATCAATAATATAAAATTGAATTTAGGTACACCTTCAGGAGTTGGACCAATTGTTGCTGGTGATATTATTACTGCAGGATTGGAAATAGGAGATAAATGTTTATCAACTATAAAGTTTCCTGTTATAAGAAGGAAAAAATTAAATTCGAAATATTGAAAATTAGAAATTTCTCGAGTAATATTTTTGTTATATATATTTTTTTACATAAGAAAGAAATATATTTTAAAGAAATATATTTTAAAGAAATTCAATCTTTTACGAATATATTGTATCCACCTTTGAACTTTCTTGAGTTAAAATATATTTACATTTGAGAATTAACTGAATTATTATAAAATCCCCTGGGGATAATTTTTTTTTTCTAATCGAGTAACGACTACTACTACTATTACTTGAGAAATAATTTACTAAATATTTTTACTAATTGATACATGATTTTTGCTTTCAATGAAGGGAAATTTTATTATGATTATCTAAACCTTTTGTGTAATACTGATGTAAAGAAAAAAAAATTGTAGTCTTTCAATTTAACGTAGCAATTTTTTTTTTTCTCTCCATAATTTTTTCGTTCTATTCAAATTTTTTTTTTATTCTTTTAGACAAAAGTAGAATTTTAATTATTATTATTATTTTTTTTTTTTTACAAATATTATATTTCGAACAAATATTTAATCATCATTTAATACTTAGAAACTATTAAAAATTATATACAAATGAAATATTAAAATTTACATATAAAAAATATCATTATTGTCATTATTGTTTATATTAGACAATTACAAAAATTACAATTTTTTTATAACCTACTCTAAATTTTTATTATAATCTAATCTAAATTTCCATTTCTTTACCAATTTAACCACTTTCCTTCTTCGTGGCCTAGTATTAAAAAATTTAACAAATCTACATGAAAGAATATCGATCTTGATTGACAAATAGTGAATTATTATCATTATTATAATTTAAGACATAATTATCGGTCTGTGTTGAGATATCTATCTCATCATCATCATTTAAAAAATAATTATCAATTTGTGTTGGAATATTCACATTATTATTTAATTGAGGTTGAGGTTGAGTAGAAGCAGTAGTAGTAGAATTTTCTACTTGAAATTGCTGTTGATTTCGTTGAAGTTGTTGAAGTTGAAGCTGCGCAAGAGCAGCGAGCTCGATTTGTTGTTGTACGGAATTCAAATAACTTGAATTCTGATTATTCAGGTTGGGTTGATGATTTAATATTCTGTTATGAGGTGATGGCTGTTGAATATATTGATAGTCTTTTACTGCTGTAGCTATTTGGTTGGAGGAATAATTTGAATTGATTGGATATTGTATTATTATTTGTTGTTGAGATAAAGTTGGTTGATAACTATTTGATTGTATTGGAGTTTGTGATGATAAAGATAGTTGTTGACTATTAGATTGTATCGGAGTCGAAGTTTGAAATGATGAAGGTGATTGATGGTTATTAGATTGTACCAGAGTTTCGAATGATAAAGGAGGTCTTATTACTGGAGTTTGGAAAGATAAGGGAGATTGAGTTTGAAATGATGATGAGAGTGATTGATGACTATTAGGTTGTACAGTTTGTGAAGATGGAAAGGATTGATGATTATTTGATTGTGCTGGAATTTGGAAAGATAAAGGATATTGATTATTATTATATTGTACTGGAGTTTGTAAATATGAAGGGGATTGATGTCTTTGGACTGGAATTTGTGAAGATAAAAAAGATTGGTAACTATTTGATTTTATTGGAGTCTGTAAAGGGGATTGATGATTATTTGATTGTATTAGAGTTTGGAAAGATAATTGTTCTGGAGTTTGTAAAGGAGATTGATGATTATTATTTAATTGTACTGGAATTTGGAAATATAAAGAAGATTGATGATTTTGTTGGAAAGATAATAGAGATTGATAATTATTTGATTGTGTTGAAGTTTGGGTTGATTCAGAAAATAATGAAGATTGAATTTGTGATGAAATTTGTTGATTATTAATTAAGTTTCTCTTATGTTGAGGAAGGGATGGTGGTGGCATTGCAATTCTATCATTATCAACAACTAAAATTTCAGATTGTTGGGATTCTTTAATCGAAGTTGCTGTAACAAGATCTGGAATTGATTGAATCTTTATATTTTGATTATTGAACTTGAATTCAAATGGAGATTGAACCACTTCGGAAGGTGGTTTTTGTGCCAAAAATTCAACAATTTGATGTGGTTGTTTAGCTTTAACTATCTCCAATACAAATTGCTTTTTAGAATAATCCTCCGCTAATTCCTGAGCTGTTGAAAGAGATATCTTTTCGGAATCATGTTTGATCTTATTGTCCATACCATATAAAATTATGAATGCTTCAATAAAACTTAAATATTCATTTTTCGTATGGAATTCGTACCTTTACATTAAATAAATAAATAAAAATATATATATTAAAAAATCAATTTATTTATTAATATAAAAAAAAAAAGACATACTTAAGGAAGGCCTTTGTATCATCTAATTTTATATAATATCGTGCTCCATCTACCATTCGAACGAATTTCGAGAACTCTCCAGTCGCTTTTAATTCTCTTTCATCAAGAGTATGAACTATGACTGTATATTTCTTTCTATCACAATACACATTAATTAATGTTTGAACTTTATAGAATTTATCCACAGATTCTAGTAAACGAAGATAAGAATTTAAAATTGAATATACAAAAAAACAACAAAGAATAATTTAATCAGTAACTTACTTTGCCCTTCTGCTGTAATGGACAAACAATCTCGTTCAAATCTTACTGATCTAGTTCTTTTGCCAAGTGATTTCTTGGCTTCCAATCGTTCTTTTAAAAATTAATAATCAATTTGTTTAATTATATAATCAAATAACATTAATTATTATATTGTTTAAATTTGACTTACTAATTTCATCAGCATCAATCTTCTTTTTCCCCTTGTCAATAATTGGGGGAAGAGGTGCTTCATCATTTGTTGAAATTTTTTGATTAAAATATTTCGCCAATCGGAATTCTGGCTTGAACTCTTTATTATGTCTCTATTATAATAAAATAAATTTAGTAACTGAAGCAATTAATCAAAAAAATAAAGACAAATTTATACCTCATCCATCATAAACATCATTTTTTCATTCTTCGTTCGTTTGGCTTTCTCCTCTTCTTTCTCGGAAGAATTAGGCTTTCTCTTTCTTTTCTTCAACTTTCGATGAGTAGGCATTGTATTAGATTCGGATGATTTGGCTGGATCGGCTGGAATTATCCACTCCGGAATAGAGTTGGGATTCAAATCCAAATTTGGATGTAACAAACCCTTTTTTTATTCATTAAAAAAAATTATTACATTAATCTTAATAAAAATTATAAATAGAATAATTAATTTAATAATCTTACTAGTAATTTCGCTTCTATTTGTATGGCTTGTTCGTAAGTCCAGCTGGAACCAGTAGACTGGTTTAACCTTAATACGTCGTTCCAAAGTGAATCATCGTTTTTTCTTAATAGTTGCCTCTTTCCATCACATGATGGATTCTGTCTATGATCTTTAAATTCGACAACTACATGACCTAAATTAATTATTATAACATTATTATTACTCATCATTATTATAGTTTTAATTATAACGATTATTGATTTAATCAAATTACCTTCATAAAATTTGTATTTGTCTATGGTAAGGTCTGTTGTATTATCCTATTACATATAATATATTATAAAGTAAGCATGGAAACACGTGCCTCTATGGATCTTTATTTGATTCTACTTACTAAATTTTTAAATTCAACATGCTTATCATATATGTGAGCGTATAAAGAAACTTCAAGAGTGCTTAAACCTTGAACCTCCATTTTGAATATCTTTGGTTTAGTTGGGTCGTTTATAATGTTTAAGAACGTTGTGAACAAAAACAAAAGAAAGACAGCAGTCTCGAATAATATTAGATTTTCCGAACGAAAAAAAGGAAGCTGTCTTGGATTTTTGTTAACAAAAAACATGCAGCAATTGGAATTTCGCTTTCGAACGTGGTCATATCTATCATGTGCAATTTTTGGGGTTACGCGTGCCATTCCATTGGTTGATAATAATTTATGGTTATAAGCATCATTCTATTGGTCGATAATAATTTACGATAATCTAACGTAAAAATTCAACCATTGAACATTTTGAACATCTAATCGAATCTCCAATTATTATTATAAAAATTTTCGAAGTAACAAGGGATTGAGGTTTATAATGGAATTAGCGGCTAATATTGTTACGTATTTACATTGATTCTATATACTTTATATGCACCAATCTGTGAGTATTTAAAATATAATATATATACGTAAAGATGTTTCCATAAAAATAGTAATTGACAAAAGATCTTCACCATTGCTATCCTTGGTAATATCTGATTTATATTATGGGAACTAATTGTCTCACGACTTTTCTTATCGTTATTGGTACAGTACATTTTTATTTACATTTTATTTTATTTGTTAATTAAATAAAAATTTTTTTATATACAGGATGAATGCAACAGATAGTTTCTTGATCCGTTCAATCTTCACTCTGTAAAATTACCATCAAAGAGACCATATAACTTTTTAAGTAGAAACTATCATTGATGAATGTGTATATATATATATATTTTATTTATATCTTTATTTTATTAACAATATTAAATCAATATTAATCAAAAAATTCTTTCTATATTAGAATCCTGAAAACTCGTGAATGGACCTAACTCATAATTAAATCAAATAACAAATGAAGCGAAAATCTATTTTTTTAAATACATTCACAACGTACAAGATCTAACAAACTCACCAGAAATATATAGAGATCAATGAAATAGAGGATAGGGAAAACCCGAAAACGAAAATTTGATAAGACTGAAAGAAAAATAATATTACTTTTCTCACGTATTATCAACCATTTTAATAAAGATAAAAATATTTTTTGAATCATCATAGAAAAAATTCAATATTTAATATAATTAATCATTTATTATAAAATATCGAATGTTTCTCCAAAATTAATTTAAATTAAATGTTTAAATATGACATGTAAAGAAATCTATTACCGAAATCTTTTTTTGTAATTTATTTATTGGACTTCTGTTTCTTTTGCCAATTGCTCATCATTGAGTTTTTCGGCTTGATCAAGTACTCCCGAACCATCGAATATATCTCCGAAGAATTCACCCCAACTCTCTAAGCAATATGCAACAATTTCAAGTGCAAATGTTTGCAGATCCAATACATGATCATTCACCTTAGTGACATAACTCGAAGCGGTAAAAACGCATCTTAAAAACTTCTCAATCGAAGATTGCTGTAATAATAATAATAAAAAACAATAATATAATTTAAATAAATAACACAATAATGATGGCGAAAGAAATAACGAAAGAAATAAGCAAACCTGTAATATTTCACACATTAATTCTTTATCCAAGTACAACACAAATACTAAGATAATTGCCACTATCAATTTTCTTGATTCCCAATTTTCGGTTACTCGGTATGCCTTTATCAATGTTGGTACCAATAAGCACGCGAAATGCTTAACGGGCTCTTTAAACTGTGATAACTCAATACGTTCATCTAATTGAGATTCACAGAGCTTCTCATCAGAATCAACAATCATATCTTTCTCATTATTATTTTTCTCCCCTTTAAAAATAAAATTTTTATCCATGAACTTCTAAAATTAATAAGTAATACAAATTCACTTATAAAAAAAAAAAATAACAAACCAGTTGAAGTTGTTGAGACGACTGAAGCTCCATGATTTTTATGTTGTATTCCTATTTTAAAAATGTAAATAATAAATAAATAAATGGAAAATAATAAATTTGTGTACTTTTCGTCATGCTGTAGATTGATGATACCTGTTGACCTCGGAAGTGCGGGAAATAGGGCCAATATGAAAAGGAAAATTTGCTTATAAAGATTATGTGGTTGTAAAGATATTGCCTCTACCTCAGATAAATTTTCTTGTACTTTCCCGATCATGACTTTAACGGAATCCTTAGCATCAAGGAAACCTGCCGGCTTACGTGTCAATGCTTCATATATTGCATTTCCAATCCCTAATTGGAAAAATTTACTTATTATAGGACGAGATTTATATGCCAATATTGTGAACATATTCCATAACCGCACTTGATTATGATCACTATTCAAATTAAATATATAACATTAATATAATCATATAACATAATATTCGTAATATTCATAATTTTTAATACTAACCCCAAGCCGTTTACATTCTTAATTATATGTTTGACAACATCGTCACTTAAAAATATCTAAAATATAAAATTAAAATGAGATTAAATTAATATCAAATTAATTATTAATTATATGTGATGTGTTAGATTTAATATCGAATATCGAATAAAAATTATGCTTACCGATAAAGAACTAATTTCCCCTCTGAAACGTGATACCAAGAAAGAAAGACTCAAACAACACCAATGAATGACATCCGGCAATTCATGGTCTGCAAACAAACTCTGAAAATCTGGAACGTTTATAGCCTCTTCCAATAATGTTGAGAAAGAATCCAAAGGAGCTCTTTGACAACAATTAGCCAAAAGTTTAAGTGGAAGTATTCGATCATTATCAGTAAGAAATGGGAAAATTGAAATCCATATATGAGGGAAAACATGTTTTTCGACAATGATGCCTGTACAATCAACTCGATTATGCCTTGAAAATTGATATAATGCCTAAAAAAAAAAAAGAATACATCAAAATAACTAAATAATTCAAAAAAAAAAAACAAATATTTTAAATGATAAATGATGAATTTCTTACCATTATTATATCTTTCAAATGTTCTGAATCATTTGATTGAGGTCCTTTGACCAAAATATCACAAAATAAAGGTACAACTTTTTCTTTTATAGATTTAGAGACCATATGTTCTGCACTATCTCCTAAAGTAGAAACTAAATTTCCCAGGCATCTGGTCGCCATTGTAATCACAGTGAAGTCAGATTGAGGCATGCTCGATTCAAAGATACTTTGTAATATCACCGGATCGATATCGCTTTGACCCGAGAACATCATATCGAGTGATAATCCTCCTTCATCAGAACTTACTTTTTGAACAATTTGTGCTAATTTACTAATAAGCAAATCAAGATTCCAATCTGTAAGAGCTGTTCGATCAAGCATTAGGAAGAAATTGGCAAGTCTACCCAGTTGATCACTATTCGTATTTGTTTGAACAACTGATCTAAGCGTTTCTCTAATTTCTGGAGGTAAAAAGACTCTTTGATTAACTATTTCTTCTGGTTCCTCATTCATTGAACTATCATTTCGAGGAATAATATCCTCTTCTTCTTCACTATCTGTTTCATGATCTACTTCCTCATCTTGTGCAACATCTTGTTCAATATCATTATCATTTCCTTCAATATTGGTTTCTGTATCCGCTTCTATTGGTTGATCCACATTCATTAAATCTATTATATTTCATTTATTTATTTTTATATATATAAAATATAAAAAATTATTTTAATTATATATTTATAGATATATATTAATTATTTAAATTCATGAATAAATTCTATGATAAAAGACTTTGTTAAAAATTTTGAAAAAAATTAAAAATACCATTCTCTCTATTCTCTCTAATATTATCTCTACTAACGGATACTGGATTTTCTGATACAGTTGGCTCATCGTCAATGTCCATCGGTTCAGTTTGATCGTTCATATCTGTTCTATTTCTAAAGAGATATCTTAATTGTTGTGGGATATTTTCGTCTATTATTTGACTGGCTTCTTGATTTATTTGAGCTAGGGCCCTAGTGATACGACGTTGAGGGCTATTGAATTATAAATGATAACTTCAATATAAACACTTAATAGATAGAATAATTGGTAGTTGGTTTAAAATACATACTCAGTTCCTCTTGTTGTTGATGATGTTGAAGTTGATAGATTACTGTTTCTTCGCGACGATCTCCTGTCCATTTCGTTTAACACTCCCTAACTCGAAGTTTTATGACTCGCTTAAAATTCTTGGTTTTTCAAAGTCTCGTGATATAATTATTAACATTGTGATTGTCATGCAAATGGTATTAATCTCACGTGTTATAGTATGGAGTTAATGGGGTTTCTTCCGAAACAGAGTTCGGAATATTTGTATTTGTTGTTCTTCTTGGAATGCGATTAAATTCTTGCCTTTTTTTTTTTCGGTCGAAACTTAAATTGGTTCTTATTTAGGTTTCATTAAACCATTCAATCTTTATATGGTTAATATTATTATTTCTTTTTTTTTCGTTTGTTGTGACTTTTTTTTTTGGATTAATACTTCTGAATTCCAACATAAATAACATTTCTGGAATATAGTAATCAGAAAAAAACTTTATAATGAATATTTTTTTAAAAAAACATATTTCCGCACATTAAATTTTAAAAGTTATTATTTGTTATTTATTTTTTTTTTTATTTGTTTATTATTTTTTTTTATCGATCAATCCAACTAAACTGCTTGTTCTTATTCTTCGTTTAAGGCAGTAATATTATTAGAAAACTATCAGAAAAGCACCATACATAAACTTTATTAATGAAAATTGTCTAAACTAAAAAAAAAAAAAATTAATAACGTTTTGTAATATGATACACACACTTGATATTCTAATTTAGTCTCAAAAATTACGATCTGGAAAAAAGCAAGTGATAACAAAATTATGTGATAATTTTACATAAAAAATGTTAGTGACGGAAATAAAAGAATTTATAAGTATTTAAAATAAAAATTTTCAGTACATAATAATGTATAATATAAAACGTGCCCTCGCTAACAATAATAATACCATTTCATGAAAAAATAAACGCGTATTAAATCAAACCAAACTAAATAAATCCAATCGTATTGCCCTTATTCATATTACATTAGTAAGTAACAAAATTGACGCTTAATTTGGAACGAAAGACAATTAAAGACAGACAAAAATAATCTTGTATTTATTCGTTTCATTATTCTAAATTAGGAACGATTCGGCTGTTAATAAATTAAATTTTTAATAAATCTAAAAAAATCAAAAAAATGGGATAGTTCTATCATATGATTTCTATTCTAGAAGAATAATATGAAATAAATTATTTCCATTTCTTTTTTATATTTTATTTATAGCGATAAGTATTCTAATTTCATTCTCCATATTCTCGTCTTCTTTTTTTTAATGACTAGCACAAAATAATAAAAAACAAATAATGTTCTATCTTCTAATAATAAATAATTACAATATAATAAGTATTTATTTCATTTTATTATATGTTTCATATATCTCTTTATTTTCTGTTAGGATGGTGACGAAATTTGAATAAACATAACAATATTTGATTATTGTAACTAAAAAATATCGTGTTTCAAGGAATAAAAGAATAAATCCAATATGCCTTCTTGTTTTTTTTTTCACAGAACATTACAATATTATTACTCCTTAACGACATGCAATCATAACAAAAGAAAAAAAATAAAAAGTCAATATGACAATAAAAATCAAAATAGTATTGGTCAATTAACCAATAACTCATTTATATTAATAACCATGAAAAATATAATAATTATAAAATATGCATTTCAATATTTTTAACATTATTAGTAGGCGTTGTTATATGATTTGATTATGGCATACATTCTCAAACATTCTCAATTATTGAATTATTCCATTTCCATTTTTTCATTTCAATCTATGATAATTACATTATTTTTATATTTAGATATATGATTCCGTAAAAAAGCGTCAAGCACAAAAAAAAATCAAAAATTTCTTTATGTATTCTTCATTATTCACCATTATTTGATGTAAAAATTCTTAATTTGATAATTTCATAAAGCTTTTCCTGAATTATACAAACAATCAAAAGTGATTTAATTTGCTTGTTATTATCTACATTTTATATTTTTATAAATCAAAATTTGGCTTGTCTTTATTTTTAAAAGCTGATCACCCAGCGTTTCGAATATAAATGAAAATTTAATCTTTTCACTCAGGATTTTTTATTCTTTATGATAAAAATATAAAGATAGAAATTTTGAAATAAAAACGCATGATCTAAGCAATTACATTAATTAATACTAACATTAATATTAAACACTAACTTTTCTAATTCTATTTTTCTTTTTTCATTTTTTATAAAGAATGTTTAGATCTTTTTGGTCATTCCTTACTATTAGGGTTGTTAATAGAACATAATGGGTTGGGTTGGGTTCATATTATAGCGGAGCAATGGTCAACCCAACCCAACCCG